CTGGCGGGAGCACCAGTGTGTCAGAGCCGGCCGCGGTGCGCCGTTTCTTGGGTTCTCTGAAAGCCGTAACCGAGGTTGTGCCCGGCCACCTGACATAACCGTGACAAGCGCTGTCACGGACCGCTCCTCTTTCCCGCGTTACTGGCACCGCGGTTTAGTGTCAATTGGAGATTTTACCCTATGTTCACATTCGCTGTAGTGCTGTGTCAAAGTCTCTGTGTTATGTCTCATTTCAGCACAGTAATGAGGGGGCAAAAAGAAGCCTTTTGTGTAGTTTAGGGAGTGAAGCATGGCCTGCTGCCTAACTGCCGCACAAATAGCTGTGGTGTACCAGCGTGCCATGAAGATCTGCCTTAAGACTGTGAAAATGAACATACAAAAGTCAACATTGTGCTAGCTTATTTTGATGGAGAATGACCTTTTTTGCTCTACCCATTTAAACAACAGGCATTTTACTTTATGTATGTATTTAATTACTGTTGGAATTGTGGATGGGGTAGGGAATTGTGTAAATCCTGACTCACGTGCCCCACCCTGGAAAAGAATTATTGAAGTGGCAAAACTACTGTAGAACGCTTGTTCTTTGGTGAACTTCCCAGTCCTTCTGACAAGGAGTACTAATTAACGAGTACAATCTCAGCTTTCATTTTTTGTTGTTCTTTTTTTGTTTGTTTTGTTTTTCTTCTCTGCCTTAGCCTGAAAAAGGATCCACGTACCTTGGAATGGAAACTCTCTGGATTGAAGTAGTTGTTGAGCAATGCTGAACCCAATCCAATGCAGCCGCCTTGCCAGTGAGATGTGTTGAATTGGGCTCAGCTCTGTGTTCTTTGTGAACACAAGTGAGACGTAATCCTCCGCCTGTTCAAGTGTAGTCCTCTTTGCAGAATGCTGCATGGATGTACCCTAACAAAAAAACATAAACAAAATTAAGCAGCTTGATAGTTTTGAATTAAAATACTACACATTGCACTCTTTCTAGTTGTTTCCCAAATCTTGAGCCATATGCAAAACAAAGTGCAAGCTGTTTTATTTTCCCATCTTATTTCCATGAGAGGTAGGAGCTGCT